ATATTCCGTAATGTCTTATTTTATCCAAGAGAATTTTTTAAAAAGGCAAAAGCTGCCTCAAATTCACCATAGCTTAATTCGTGATCATACATTATAACGTTATTCGTGGGTTTAAGTTTTTAAAAGATTTAGATGTTGGTATTATTTTTAGACAAGGTTCGGACCAATACTTATAAAATATTTATTTAATTCATCCGAGTTTTTGACAAAATATATCGTTGTTTTCAATAACAATTCGTTTAGGTAGTGAAGGTGAATTTAGTTTTTCTCTTCCCATTATTACATTAAGGATGGACCTTGTTTTTTTGCTATCAAATTTACATTTGTTAATTTGATTAAGTTTGGTAAAAATATTTAAAACTTTTGTAATTATTTTCATTATCATTGTTTTTATTTTTTCAGAAATTTATTGTAATGTTTTTGCTTTTTTTTTTTAAGTACTTTAATAATGATTTATCCATCCACGGATTAGCCAGAGCTTTTGTTTTTTTATAATCTCTTGCTGACAGGTTTCGTTAAAATACTCCAAAAATGTACTTAAAAAAAGCATTGTAAGTTTCATTAGTATCTTGACATTTATATACGTTGTTTCGCGTTTCTTGTTTTAGCCTACTTGTTAACTTATCAGTGTTAGTCATATTTAATTTTCTTTTTTCAAATGTATGGTTTTAGATTGACAGTCAGACGTAGATTTAAGGTTTTTTATTTTTATGAATATCCGCCTATATCTGCCATAAATATACCGGTTTCGAATGTCGTTTCTAAATAATTGTTAATTAAAATATTGTCTATTGCTGTTGCCGAAGTTTTTGTTACACGCGTTGGTTTATTAATAGTTGACAAGGCATTAACTTAAAAAGCATATCAAAAAAATATTTTATTTTTGGAAATTTAGTGTTAGATAAAGCTTCAAGATTTAATCACCAGTAATATTTAATGTTTTATTTTCTCTATTTTTTTTTCATAATCGTATTTTTGATAAAAGTTTTTTATTTCTCCACTTGGTGGACGATAAAATGTTGGCCGTGGATAGAGTGCCGAAAGTCGGCACTCTAACGAAATATGCTTATAGTGCCGGAAGCCCGTTTATTAGTTAAAAAAAATCACGTGCCAAAACAAATTCCGATATCATATATTTTAAATTCCAATCATTGCACAGTGGGTCAGAAGTCGGCAAAACCTAAAACATAAAGTTTAAAAAAACTTTTTTTTTTTTTTTTTTAATATAGGTTAAATAAGTCTAATATACGAAAATAATATTATTTATGATAATAGATTATGATTAAATAGAAATACTTGGCCGCAAACTACTCCAGTTCCGTCAGCAAGCAATGTTGAAAATTATTCATTATTTTTTCTAAATATTGCCGTTTATTTTTACATGCTTCCTGCTTTAAAAGGTAGGAAAATTTTATGCTATATTTTTTGAATTTGTATATAGATGTATAATTTATCCTCAAAATATCATTATAAAAAATATAACAGTATTTTTTTATGCCTAACTGTACAGGCTGTTTTTTAAATTATGTAAATTCTTTTTTTCTTTGTTGGTGTTTAAATAGTAGTGTATTAAGCAATATTAAAGATATGTTGCAGCTGTTTTCATAAGTACTTGATGTGTACTACTATTATCAAGCAAAATATTTTGCCAGTTTTTGCCAGTCTAGAGTGAGCAATGATTTTAATATGTAATAATTGTAATTTTTATAAACCGGCCGTGTTGTTATCTCATTAATATAATTTTTATAGTCCGGACGGACTATACTATTTATTGGCGAATATTTAAGAGAACATAATAATAAGAAAGAAAATATAATAATAATAATAATAAAAAAATATTATTAGACAATATATTCCTTTTGTATATATCTGTTCATATTGGGCATAAAATATTACAGTAGGTTGCCTAGTTTTTAACAAACACATGCTCATTATTTTGTTTGTACATTTAATCTACTCTCTCTCTCTTTCCCTCTCTCACTCTCTCTCTCTCTCTCTCTCTCTCTCTCTCTATATATATATATATATATATATATATATATATATATATATATATATATATATATATATATATATATATATATATATATATATATATATATATATATATATGTATATATATATATGTGTATATATATATATATATATATATATATATATATATATATATATATATATATATATATATATATATATATATATATATATATATATATATATATATATATATATATATATATGTATATATATATATATACATATATATATATATATATATATATATATATATATATATATATATATATATATATATATATATATTATATATATATATATATATACATATATATACACACATTATTATATATATTATTATATTATCTATTCTTATATTAATAGATGTTCTTTTTAATTTTAGATGAATAGAAGACAGTTATACATTTATATTAAAGAAACTGACTGTAATAAAAATGATTTACTTTGTAAACTGGTTGAGTATGTGGAAAATGTTTCACCAAACACATTTTTAGATATAAAGCCAACATTATCATCATTTGTTCATCAATACAAACGTAAAATGACAACTGTAAAAAGGGAGTATACTCAATTTGAAAATAAATATGCTACTTGGCTAGATGCTATTATTTCTTTTAAACTAATAAAAGCTGTTACTCCTGAAAAAAATTATGGTGGAAGACCAGAAACACCTTTTAACAAATCTTCAATACGATCAAAGGACAGAAAAGTTTCTAACATTATACATATGTACTCTACTAACGAAATATTATATGCAGCTTCAAGGTCATTAAAAAAAGATGGGAGAAATGCAGAGGCTATCAGTGTCAAAAGTATTTTATATACCCCTCAAGCAAGTCTTTTTTCTGACAAAGCACTAGCACTCTTCTTAGATGCTAATCTGTCAAAGGCAACATACCAACTTCTCCGCAACAATGCTTTGGATCTAGATTCAGCTATTTATCCAACATACCATGATTTAAAGAGTGCAAAAGACAGATGTTATCCAGATGATGTTATAATCTCTGATTACTCAGCAGAAATTCCGTTGCAGTCTCTACTTCAGCACACATCACAACGACTTTGTGATTCTCAGATAGAAGTGCTGACTGCTGATTCCCTTAAAATCTTTAAAAAACTTACACTTAGATCAAAAATAGGATTTGATGGTGCAACTGGTCTGTCAGTGTATAAGCAGTCGAGTACAGATGAGGCTGGCAGGAGTTTAGCCAATGAAGTATCTTTATTTATTACATGCTTAGTGCCATTAGACTTATACTTTTTTACAGATGCCAAGCGGCAGCTTGTTTGGAGGAATCATAAACCTTCGTCGCCTATTTTTTGCAGACCTGTCCGGTTTAAATACATCAAAGAAACAAAGGAAGTAGTCTTAGAAGAATTTGAGTCAATTAAAAATGACATCAAAACACTCCCAGTTTCTAAAGTGATAATTGCTGGACAGACATTAGATGTACATCATATCATAGATATCACTATGATTGATGGGAAAGTGCAGACCATAATTTCCACTGCTACAACTTCCACTCAGTGTTGCAGTGTTTGTGGCATCTCACCAAAGTTCATGAATGATCTGCCAATAGTTTTAAAAAAAGAAGTGAAAAATGAGAATCTGCAGAATGGCATCTCAACACTTCATGCCTGGATTAGGCTTTTTGAGTGTTTACTACATATTGCATACAAGATTCCAATTCAGAAATGGCAAGCAAGAGGTGTAGATGATAAAGCTATAGTTGCCACCAGAAAGAAGAAAATACAAGTTGCATTCCAAAATGAGATGGGTCTTGTTGTAGACCAGCCATGCTCTGGGGGTGCTGGTACCTCAAATGATGGGAACACTGCACGTCGTGTGTTTCAGCAGGCTGAAAAGTCTGCTGAAATAATGGGTGTTAGTCCTGTTCTTATCAGAAGACTACATTCAATATTATCAGTGATGTCTTCTGGATTTGATATTGAACCTAACAAATTTAAAAAATATTGTTTTGAGACTGCAGAGTTGTATACACAGTTATATATATGGTATCCTATGTCACAGACTTTACATAAAGTTCTGATTCATGGACATCTAGTGATAGAATTTTTTAGCTTGCCTCTTGGCATGATGTCTGAGGAAGCACAAGAAGCCTCAAATAAGTACTTTAAAAAATACAGGGAGTGCTTCTCTAGAAAATGTGACAGAAAAAAAACCAATTTGGACGTGTTTCATCGCCTTTTATGCCATTCAGATCCTTTTATTGCTCAATACCGTAAAACAAACAGTACAAGAAAAGCTATTCTGCCTGCCGATGCAATTGCTCTGTTGAAAGAGCCCAGCATCATTTGCTCTTTGTGAGTTTTTGATGATATCTTAGAAATAAATGTTTTTGCCAATGAATGTACGTGTTTAGCAATAAATGTTTAATTATATATAAGATTTTTTTTTTCAATATAAATAAAAACAACATCTTAATATATTAATATAGTTTTTAATCATAGTTTTATTTGTTTTAATTTATTATGAGGTTTTGGCTAGAAATTAACTATTTTAACCCATTATAGTTTTTTATTATTGTGCATAGTAATAATAAAGGTTCTACCATCTAGTGTTGCTAGATTATTGCAAGAATCTAGAATAGTATACTTTTTATACTATTCTAGATTCAAAAAAAACTTTAAATAATATTTTTGTTTCTAATTTTATTGCCGAATTAAGGGAGGGGGGCTATGGCCCCGGGGCCTTAAATTTTAGGGGCCCCGTAACATTCAAGAAGACCTTCCCCTTACAAATCGTGCTATATAAATTTGGCTAATAAAGTACTGCAGAAAAAAATAGCCCCGGGTCCCGAATGTTCTTAATCCGCCTCTGGCTAGTTTACGGAATTTTTTTTATAGGCTAAAAAATTGGAATTTTTCAAAATTATGCAATAAAAATCCAAGTTTTTATAAAACTAAAATTTTTTTTGCATAATTTGTTTTTCAATATAATACACCGTTTGTAATAAAAAAAAAAAAAATTAAAATATATTTTAGAGGTTTTGGCTGAAAATTGGCACCTCTGACCCACTGTGCATTGGAAAAATATTTGAACTATATATTGGAAAAATTTCATTTCATTTATACTTTGAAGATGTCAACTAGTTTTGCATGCAAAGATATTTTTTTATCATTTGAAGATTTAAAATCTACTATTAAGAAATATGAAGATTCTCATTTTGTGCAGTTGTGGATTCGTGACGCAAAAACAATTGAAGCAGCTCGAAAAACCATTCCAAGAAAAGCTGCTTCAATAGCTCCACAGATAAAGTATTATTATATAAAGTACTGTTGTATACATGGCGGGAAAAAGTTTACAAATAAAGGCAATGGAAAACGTCAAACTTCGTTAGTAGTTGTTTTATTTTAATAATTTATTATCATTAATGAAAAGTTTATAATAAAATAAGATTTAAAAAATAAATTGTTAATAACTTATTTGTGCATAGGAAATAAACCATGTTCTAACACAAATGTTTTATTTCATCAAAAGTTAGAATATTTATTTCATGAAAAAATAACTAATTTTAAACATGCTTATTATAGGACTTATATAAGTTTTAAAGCATCAGAAGATGGACAAACATTAATCTTGCAAGATTTAAACAATGAACATAATCATGAAGTATCTGAGGTAAATTATAAGTACTTATAAAATTTTTTTTTGATAAAGACCATTTATTTCAGGTTCCTTATAGAGTGGTTGAAAAAGGGAAAATAATTAAAACTACACCATATATTTAAAGTATTTGTAAAAATTGTTAATATTTATTATCAAAAAGAAAAATCTGAAACATTGTGTTAAAATTAGGAAAATATGTTCCATTTTCTCATGGCATACCTGTTGTTGATTATATGATACAATCTCCTGAAAAATGTGAATTGAATCTTGAAATGTCCTGGAGTTTCATTTAAATAAATGCCCAAAGAAGTTTCTGCCCAAGAAGTTTTCCAAGTGACATCTTACATCCAAAATTCTTTGTTTTTACGACTTAATTCAGTTCTTAATTTGTTCATTCGTCTGGTATCAACAACATGGTCATAACCTAAGATCAGTCACTTACAACAACTTAACTATTCCACTAAAACAGACAACTGAACATGGAATTAATTCGATTACATACCAGTGTATCCTTTCTTGAAACACCCTTCCGAACACCCTAAAATCAGATTTCATCCCTAGGTCCAAGAATCTGTTCTTAAGGTCACTCCATCATTTCTACCTAAAAAGTTACACTTAACTTCATTCTTTACCTCTATAACTTTTTTTTTTTTTTTATGTGTGTGTGTGTGTGTGTCTGTATAAGTACATCTTATAATTTTTTATTTGTGCATGTATATATATTAACACATTATAATAATTAATTTACCTATATCTTACCTTAAATTCTGTTTTATGGGTGTTGCTGTGAAATTCTACTTTTATTATGTGGTTAATTTATTTCTTTTATTATTATTATTAATATTATTGTTATTATTAGTTTTTTCTTTATCTTATTTAGGTCATTGCGTTTTATTAGTGAATCACCATTTGCAATTATCTGTGTTTTTGTAAAATTCTTATTAACACAATATATATATATATATATATATATATATATATATATATATATATATATATATATATATATATATATATATATATATATATATATATATATATATATATATTGCTTGATTATTAAATTTTGTGACTGCCACGTAACCTGGAAAGGTGTCAGGATTAGACCATATTAAATTATATGTTCTGTTTATTTTCTTTATTATAATGAATAAAGAATTGCTTTTTAAAATAGATTTTGTATAAACATTTACCAAATCAAAGAAGACTTCTTAATTATGCTATTGCAAAAGCAGAAAGCTTGTTACACTTAAAAGCTAATAAAAAACTTCTACAACAAGAATTGTCAAAGGAGACTGGAAAAATGATAACTCTTCGTGACTTATCAAATATTGCTGCTTCTGCGTGCAAAAGTGATACCCGAAATAATTTAACAAGCTTTGTTAAGACTTTAAAGGAAAAATACAGTAAGAAAGTTATGAAATAAGATTTTAACATAAGTTATAAAATAATAATTTTTTTTGTAAATTATCATATTTATAATTTCTTTCATTTTTGATTTTTATTTTGTTACATTTTGTGCATGCTCTTTTTTCAAATATATATGTTTATATATATATATATAAACATAGTTGGACCTGCTCTGGCAGCCAATCTCCAACCTTTGTCACATCGTCGTAATGTTGCTTCTTTTTCTCTTTTCTACAAATACTATAATGGGCACTGCTCTAAAGAGCTAGCGTCCCTTGTGCCATCTACTAAAATTCATTCTCGTGTTACTCGCCATTCAATTAAGTCTCATCCTTTTTCTGTGACTGTTCCTAAGTGCTTCAAAAACTCTTATTCTTCTAGTTTTTTTCCTCGAACATCAGTTCTTTGGAATTCGCTTCCTTAATCTTGCTTTCCTGATTCATATAATTTGCAATCTTTTAAGTCATCAGTCAATCGTTATCTTGCTCTACAGATTTAGTCTTTTCTCTTCCAGTAACTTCCAACTCTTATAGTGGTTGCTTGCAGCCTTGTTGGAAGTGAAGTTGTTAAAATATATATATATATATATATATATATATATATATATATATATATATATATATATATATATATATATATATATATATGTATGTATATATATATTTATAAATATATATACATATACATATACATATATGTATATATATATATATATATATATATATATATATATATATATATATATATATACGTATACCTATACATATACATATACATAAATATATATACATATATATATATATATATATATATATATATATATATATATATATATATATATATATATATATAAAATTTTCAATTTCAAACATTTTAAAAGACATATATTTTGGTTGGGGAGGGAATACTTACCCCTAATCCCCCTAGATTCGTCACTTTATAAATATATGTATTTTAGATGCTAATGTAGATGTTTTAATGGATGCAGAAAATAATTTACAAGGGCTTTTTTTCCAAGATGTTTCAATGCATAGTGTTTACAATGCATATCCTGAATTTTTATGCATGGATGCAACTTATAAATTATTAGAAATTCGTTTGCCAGTATATATTCTGCTATGTGAAGACGGAGCTGGTTAGTTTGGATTGCTTCTTTATATAACTTTAGTTACTAATTTTGACTTTGGTTACTGTTTTTTTTTTTTGTTTGATTGATTTTTGAAATTAGCTTTAGCTTTAAAATTTAGCTTGTTACTACAAATTAAAATTTAGCTTGTTACTACAAATATTTTTCATAGGTGAAAGTGAAATAGCAGCTGTCGGTTTGCTTGCACGTGAAGATGCTGCATCTCTGAGGTATGATTTATTAACTATATCTGGCTTTGATGAAATTACTTTATAACAGATAAAACTAATATTAAATAAAACCATCTGACAGTATTAGGTGTCCTTGAGTCACACACCAAAAAATTCTTACAAAAAATATACATAGAAAATAGATTATGTGAAAGCTATGAAATTTTTTGTACATAATTTTTAGTTGGTTCATTGAAAGATTCAAGAGTTATAATATTTCTTGGCCAAAGACAAATGTTTTCATGACAGATAAAGACTTGAACGAAAGAGATGTATTGCGTGGTGCTTTTCCAGGGGTATCTCTATTACTCTGTTTATTTCACACCCTTCGGTAATAGTCATTGTTTATATGTCACTAATTATTTGATTAAGGAATATTCTCTTGTTCTGATTCTAGTTACGCTTTTTTTTTAATTTGTACCTGTATTTATTGATTATCTACAGAATCTTATAAATTTTGAGTTTTCTAATATGCCAACACCATCTTGTCTTTCAGAACTTTTAGTCGTGAAATTACAACTGCCAAGCTTGGGATTACAAGTGGGGAAAGAATTTCATCTCTTGAGTTTATTCAGAAATTGGCCTATGCTACCTCAGAGAAAAATTATGACGAACTATATAGACTATTTGTTTCATCAGCTCCATCCACTGTTATAGATTATTATAACAACAATTGGCATAATATTCATGATGAGTGGGTTTTTGGTCTAAAATTTGTGAGCAGAAACCTCATGAACAGCACTAATAACCGGCTAGAAAATTTCAATGGAAAGTTAAAAGAAGTCATTGACTGCAATAGCTCTTTAGAAAACTTTCTTGATAAATTCTATGTTGTTCTAACATCAATGCGCAATGAAAGAGATCATAGGACCATTTTTCAAATGCAAAAAGTTTCTGTTGATGTGTTTGATCCTAATTCTGCTGAGGCAGCTTATAAAAAAGTTTTGACATTGTATGCTGCTCGACATGTTCTAAAACAAATGAGCTTGTTTAAAGAAATTATATTGTTACCAGGAGAACATGGCCAGTTCATAGTAAACAGCCATGAAGGTAGTCATATAGTGACTTCAAATTTTTGTTCATGCATGTTTCGAAAGTCAATGAACTTACCATGTCGACACATATATGCTGCTCGCCAGTTGCTTGGGATAAATTTATTCGATACTGAGTTGTGTTCTGAGAGGTGGACATTAAAGTACTATCGTCAACATCAACGGGCCTTTAGTACCCAAGTCACGGATGGAAAGCCTGGAGCTGTAGATTTTCATGTTGCTCCAAAAGTAAAATTGCATTCTCAGCATGAGAAGTTTAAACTTGCCATACAGGAGACCACTTCTTGCTACCCTTGTATCTGAGTCCACAGGTCAGACACTTGAACAACGTCTTAGTCTTTTGCGATCTTTAAGTAAAAGTTGGTCAGATGGAAAGGTAATGGTACTTAACGAACTTATTGAAGAAGATGATTTAGTAACGTGTGAACAAATATCTAAACAAACAGGAATATCATCTCATACATCAATAGCAGCAACATTAGTTTTTTCTGATGTTAATTTAACAACATTTTCTGCAGTCGGAACAGTTAATTCAACTTGTTTACCTGTTAGTGTTGATGTATCAACCTTACAAGCTGGTATTTGTTCAACAAGTTCTTCTACTACAGTTAGTGCATCTAAAAACGTTGCTAGCACATATTCAATAAATTCATTGGAATGTGCAGCACATGTAAACGATGAAGTCACTTTAATAGTTCCAAAAGTACTCAATAAAGAAAGTATATCAGTGTCACAGATAGGTGCACAATATGAAATTATAAATAACAAATTTTTATCAGAGCAAGCTGAAATTGCAGAAAAAGAACCATATCAGCAAGAAGAGTTGACATCTGGGAAGAGTGATGCAGGTGCAGGTTAATGTATAGTAGTATAATATTGGTAAAACAACAAATAAATTATTTATAGACTTTAACTTCATTTTATTTAATTGTAGATTCTTTTAATTTACTAATTTTATTGTAGATTCTTACTTGGCACAGATTCACGTGCCTAAACGTGTCAAACACTGTGGGCGTCCTAAAGGTTCTACTTTAACTACTATTGGTCTACCTAAAAAACGACAACGTCAGTTGCATGAAGGGCTAGTATCTTTTTTAAAACTTCATCCGTCTAAAAGACATGCTAGTATGTATAACCAATTTTGTAGACTGCAACTTGTAGTTTACTTTATTGATTGGTATTTTTTAAGTTTAATGTACTAGCTAAATTTTTATTTCCGGCTAATTAAATAATACTGACTATATATTTTTTTTGTAGTGATTCTGGGTTGGTTTTTGAAACCAGATGATGTCCAGAAAGCTCTTTCTGGCATTCTTATACAGAGTAGTTGTATAGAAAAAAGAGTGAATTGTATTTCTTCAGCTATTCTTGATGAAAGTGCTCTAGGATCTCTTTTGTCTCTGCAATCATATTTTACTGCAGATGGATGGAAAGTGCTCAATGAAATAATTGATGTCAAGTGTCAGCAACGAATTTGGCCTTGTGCTTTGTGCCAAAAAAGCACTTCTGTGGGCAATGACATTGGGGGCTCAATAGCATGTGATTCCTGCCCTTTGTGGTTTCACAAAAAATGTGTTGACAAGAAAGAGGGTTGGTTTATAAAATCAAAATACTGGTTTTGTCGTTTTTGTTCAACTGTTTGATTGGAAATTATACATGCCTTTGTTTTATTTGGTATTAAATGGTTTACTTTATTGTTGTATTTTGTGTCTGACACATTTTAATTTTTTTACAAACATTTTTACAAATATTTAAATAGCAAAACTTCTATGCAGTTTTAATACTTTTTGGGTTTCCAAGTGGTGTTTAATTATGTTCCCAACTGTTGATAAATGTATTTTATTATTACAATTATTATTATTATTATTATTATTTATTCTTCAATCCTTTAAACGTATTCAAAACTTGCAATAATCTTAACATTAATATGCCAGTTAACATTTAATACCACAAACAAATTGTAATCGTAAATAATGTAGAGCTAGTTTAGAGTTTTTTCTTTACTTGAGCTGCAATTAACTAGTTAAATTAATATTCATGCATATAATAATCAGTTTAGTTTTAGAGCTAGTTTAGAGTTTTTTTCTTTACTTGAGCTGCAATTAATTAGTTGAATTAACATTCAAACATATAATGATCAGTTTAGTTTTAGAGTTAGTTTAGAGTTTTTTTCTTTACTAAAGCTGCAATTAATTAGTTAAATTAATATTCATGCGTATAATAATCAGTTTAGTTTTAGAGCTAGTTTAGAGTTTTTTTCTTTACTTGAGCTGCAATTAGTTAGTAAAATTCTTATTCAAGCATATAATGATCAGTTTAGTTTTACAGTTAGTTTAGAGTTTTTTTATTTACTAAAGCTGCAATTAATTAGTTAAATTAATATTCATGCATATAATAATCAGTTTAGTTTTAGAGCTAGTTTAGAGTTTTTTTCTTTACTTGAGCTGCAATTAGTTAGTAAAATTCTTATTCAAGTATTTTATGATCAGTTTAGTTTTAGAGTTAGTTTAGAGTTTTTTTCTTTACTTAAAATTATTATTAAAGCATATATTAATCAGTTTAGTATTTTATTAGTTGAACACGCTCCTTACAATTTTGTTTTTTTATATTTTGTTCTAATTTAGATGAGTTTATGGGACGCATGAACACTCTGGCTTCTAAGATGCATGCTGGGAGTTATTGTTGAGTAATAATTTAGTGAGTTTAATGAAAGTTGAACGATTGCAAATCTTATTTTTGAATTTTTGTTAACTTTTTCTATTTATTATATTATTGATAACATTTAATTGGTAAATAGAAGTATTTTCGCTGCTTTTATTCAGTGACAAGGAACAACATCCTAATTTTTTTTGTTATATTCTATTATTATTTAATTTTTTTAGTTTTACCAAAACAAAGGCTGAAAATTGTGTATGCACTGTACCATTTTTATCACAAACTGGTTGAGTTATATGTACTGAATCTTTTATGTTTTGAATATATATTTTATACAAGTTTAAACATGTTACTTTTTATGATATTGTTATATTTTATTTTTATTTTTATTTAGTTTTACCGTTACCATCATTTGGAATTAGTTTGCTGGCTGTTGAGATATGGTTTTAACTAAAGTAAACTTTCATGATTTGAAATTTATTTTATTGATCATTAGCCAACAGCTATCAAAGAAGTCTATTCAACACAAGGAACTGGACCCTCTGGTGTATTGCCAGAGATGTTGAAAGCTTCAGGGGATGTGGGTGTCAGTGGATGTCATATCTTTACAATGCATTTGTACTTGAAGGTAAAATTGCTCCAATATGTGGTTCATACTGAGGAATTGAACTACTTGCCAGGTAATAAATATTTTAGAAAGAATTATTGCAAACAAAAAATAAGGAGCAGTATATTTATCAATAACATGCAATTTGGTTTTATGTCAGGAAAAGGACTGGGTATCAGAATGTAAAGATACAGATGTTTCGATATCAGCATATAGGATGCTAAAACGATGATAATGATGATGATGATAATGATGATGTTGATGATGATGATATTGATGATATGATGATGATGATGATGATGATGATGATGATGATGATGATGATGATGATGATGATGATGATGATGATGATGATGATGATGATGATGATGATGATGATGAAGTTTTTAAAGTTAAACAGTGTAGAAATGTTTGGGGAACAATCGGTAAAAATATCATTTGTGATAAAAATGTTCATTCATAATGATGATGATGATGATAATGATGATGATTAAACTAAGTCATCTTATGATGACTTTAAGCTTAAGCATTTATTAGTTGCTTGTTTTTAAGCGGATAATAACTTTCTTTCAACAGTAATCAGAGCAATTTAGTGTTATCATCCTCAAAACATTGCAAAATTGTTAATATTAAGAAGTAAAAGATTATTTGTGACAATTTAAAGATCAAAGGTCAAAATCGAAACTCATAGTTAAGGACAAGGTTGTACTTTTAAGTTGTATTGTTTATGTTTTCAATTTTAGAATTAAATTTTACTTTAGCTTATGTTCCCTTGATCTTTAGTTTAAAATTTAGAAAAGTAGTAAAATTATCTTATTTATCTAACAAAATGCACTAAAAGAAAGTAAACCATAAAAAGTAAAGTTTATAACTTTTTTTCATTATGATTATTCAATATTTTTAAAGGGAACGGAATATATTTTTCCGTTTCATTTTAAAATATTAAATAATCGGAAAACGTAACTGTGCAAAAGTTTATAAACAGCTATTTATTATAAGTTCTTTTGTTATAATTTATCTTATTTTTCCAATTATAAATGAATTTTTCATTAATTATTCTTCTAATGTAACTACTTAGTATAATTAGCTAAAATGAAACAATAACTTAACAGTAAGAAGAAGAATGTATATATTTTGAAATGGGAAAGCTTATATATTTGTCACAATAAAAATAATAAACAATAATCCATGATTATTAGAAGATAAATTCATTAAAAAAATTCAACAACAAGCATACTAGTTAAGAAATACAAAAACTGTAATACTTTTAAAATTAAGAGTAAAGGGTATCGTAGATAGTACAAAATTTTGATTGCATCAGCATAATTTGTTTGGTCATTGCCATGTCATGATTCCAATAAAATTGTTAAAGAATGGCTAAGCCCAAAACAAATTTTACCAAAGATCATTTGAATTGGACTTTAAAAGAATGGTTAAAACTTTTATTCATGACTAATCAAGGTTTTTCATATTTTGTAGCAATAACTTTTTATTTAGATTTTTTGTTCAGATTTTTGCCTCTGCCAAAATGCACAACTTAAACCATTTATCAGAAGAACATTTATAAGCAGACTTATAAAATCTATTTTTAATCTACTATAAGATTTATAAAATCTTTAGAAATAATGTGAAAATATTGTTACTTTCATAAAAAGTAGATTCCCAATTTTTATTAACTTTTGTTAACAGTAAATGGAAATGGAAAAACTTTAATTTACAAATATAAATATATACACACATAAACACACACACACACACACACACACACACACACACACACACACACACACACACACTCACATACACACACACATACACACACAATAGGATGTTGAAATTAATAAACAGTTAAATGTTTCTAGTTTTTTTTCATATTATTTTTTTATTTTAACTGAAAATGAAAGATATTTTTACCAATTGTTACCCTAACATTACATTTTGTAAAAAACTATTATTATTACTATATTGCTAAAATCTAATATTAAATATGTACATATGTACATTATGATATTTCATGTTATTTGAGAAATTGCATTACTTTGTATATATTACTGTTGCTGATATGTTATTGCTATGCTATTACTAATGTTTTAAGACTGCTACTAGCAATAATATTACACATCATTACACAACATTACATGCTACTAGACTTACTTTACAACCTTACTTACCACCTATACAACCTTACTTAGCACCTGAAAGAAAGTTATTATCCGCTTAAAAACAAGCAACTAATAAATGCTTAAGCTTAAAGTCATCATAAGATGACTTAGTTTAATCATCATCATTATCATCATCATCATCATCATTATGAATGAACATTTTTATCACAAATGATATTTTTACCGATTGTTCCCCAAACATTTCTACACTGTTTAACTTTAAAAACTTCATCATCATCATTATCATCATCATCATCATCATCATCATCATCATCATCATCATCATCATCATCATCATCATCATCATCATCATCATCATCATCATCATCATCATCATCATCATCATCATCACTATCATCAATATCATCATCATCAACATCATCATTATCATCATCATCATTATCATCGTTTTAGCATCCTATATGCTGATATCGAAACATCTGTATCTTTACATTCTGATACCCAGTCCTTTTCCTGACATAAAACCAAATTGCATGTTATTGATAAATATACTGCTCCTTATTTTTTGTTTGCAATAATTCTTTCTAAAATATTTATTACCTGGCAAGTAGTTCAATTCCTCAGTATGAACCACATATTGGAGCAATTTTACCTTCAAGTACAAATGCATTGTAAAGATATGACATCCACTGACACCCACATCCCCTGAAGCTTTCAACATCTCTGGCAATACACCAGAGGGTCCAGTTCCTTGTGTTGAATAGACTTCTTTGATAGCTGTTGGCTAATGATCAATAAAATAAATTTCAAATCATGAAAGTTTACTTTAGTTAAAACCATATCTCAACAGCCAGCAAACTAATTCCAAATGATGGTAACGGTAAAACTAAATAAAAATAAAAATAAAATATAACAATATCATAAAAAGTAACATGTTTAAACTTGTATAAAATATATATTCAAAACATAAAAGATTCAGTACATATAACTCAACCAGTTTGTGATAAAAATGGTACAGTGCATACACAATTTTCAGCCTTTGTTTTGGTAAAACTAAAAAAATTAAATAATAATAGAATATAACAAAAAAATTAGGATGTTGTTCCTTGTCACTGAATAAAAGCAGCGAAAATACTTCTATTTACCAATTAAATGTTATCAATAATATAATAAATAGAAAAAGTTAACAAAAATTCAAAAATAAGATTTGCAATCGTTCAACTTTCATTAAACTCACTAAATTATTACTCAACAATAACTCCCAGCATGCATCTTAGAAGCCAGAGTGTTCATGCGTCCCATAAACTCATCTAAATTAGAACAAAATATAAAAAAACAAAATTGTAAGGAGCGTGTTCAACTAATAAAATACTAAACTGATTAATATATGCTTTAATAATAATTTTAAGTAAAGAAAAAAACTCTAAACTAACTCTAAAACTAAACTGATCATAAAATACTTGAATAAGAATTTTACTAACTAATTGCAGCTCAAGTAAAGAAAAAAACTCTAAACTAGCTCTAAAACTAAACTGATTATTATATGCATGAATATTAATTTAACTAATTAATTGCAGCTTTAGTAAATAAAAAAACTCTAAACTAACTGTAAAACTAAACTGATCATTATATGCTTGAATAAGAATTTTACTAACTAATTGCAGCTCAAGTAAAGAAAAAAACTCTAAACTAGCTCTAAAACTAAACTGATTATTATATGCATGAATATTAATTTAACTAGTTAATTGCAGCTCAAGTAAAGAAAAAACTCTAAACTAGCTCTACATTATTTACGATTACAATTTGTTTGTGGTATTAAATGTTAACTGGCATATTAATGTTAAGATTATTGCAAGTTTTGAATACGTTTAAAGGATTGAAGAATAAATAATAATAATAATAATAATAATAATAATTGTAATAATAAAATACATTTATCAACAGTTGGGAACATAATTAAACACCACTTGGAAACCCAAAAAGTATTAAAACTGCATAGAAGTTTTGCTATTTAAATATTTGTAAAAACGTTTGTAAAAAAATTAAAATGTGTCAGACACAAAATACAACAATAAAGTAAACCATTTAATACCAAATAAAACAAAGGCATGTATAATTTCCAATCAAACAGTTGAACAAAAACGACAAAACCAGTATTTTGATTTTATAAACCAACCCTCTTTCTTGTCAACACATTTTTTGTGAAACCACAAAGGGCAGGAATCACATGCTATTGAGCCCCCAATGTCATTGCCCACAGAAGTGCTTTTTTGGCACAAAGCACAAGGCCAAATTCGTTGCTGACACTTGACATCAATTATTTCATTGAGCACTTTCCATCCATCTGCAGTAAAATATGATTGCAGAGACAAAAGAGATCCTAGAGCACTTTCATCAAGAATAGCTGAAGAAATACAATTCACTCTTTTTTCTATACAACTACTCTGTATAAGAATGCCAGAAAGAGCTTTCTGGACATCATCTGGTTTCAAAAACCAACCCAGAATCACTACAAAAAAAATATATAGTCAGTATTATTTAATTAGCCGGAAATAAAAATTTAGCTAGTACATTAAACTTAAAAAATACCAATCAATAAAGTAAACTACAAGTTGCAGTCTACAAAATTGGTTATACATACTAGCATGTCTTTTAGACGGATGAAGTTTTAAAAAAGGTACTAGCCCTTCATGCAACTGACGTTGTCGTTTTTTAGGTAGACCAATAGTAGTTAAAGTAGAACCTTTAGGACGCCCACAGTGTTTGACACGTTTAGGCACGTGAATCTGTGCCAAGTAAGAATCTACAATAAAATTAGTAAATTAAAAGAATCTACAATTAAATAAAATGAAGTTAATGAAGTCTACAAGGCTCTTTTAAGATTGTTGATTTTGAGTGTAGAAAATGTATTTTTGGTGAGTATAGAGTAAGTTAAAAAAGTGGTTGAAATAAAAAGTAGAGGAAAGATAGAGTGTGTTATTAATTTTTTTTTATCTTGGAGATACAATTGGATCAGCTGGAAGAGCAGAAGAAGCATCTAGGGCAAGAGTAAGGTTTTCTTCAGAGTAAGTCAGAGTAAGGTCTCTATCATTAAAGAGGGGAGGGGGAGAGGCTACTAAGAATTAATTGAATGAAAAAGAAACTAAAAGCAATCAAGGTTGATGATGTTCAGCATTTGGAAAGGATAGAAAGGATGATGATTAGAAGGATGTGCAGTGTGACTCTAAAAGACAAGAAAAGCAGTGATGATTTAAGAAAAAGATTAGGCATGGTGAGTGTATCTGATAGGGTGCATCAGGGAAGATTGAGGTGGTTTGACCATGTAGAGCGTAAGGATGACTGGTTATCAACATGTAAAAAAGTGCAGATGACTGGTTATCAACATGTAAAAAGTTAAAAGTTTTAGGAGAAAAAGGTAGAGGTAGAAACATAAAAACTTGGAAAGAGTGAGTTTCAGATGATTTGAAAAAGCTACATTTCAGGAAAAAAAATGTTCAAGTGTATGTTAGAGACACGGCATTATAAGAAACATCCAGCCCATACAAGGAAAGAAACAAGGACACTAAAATAATAATGATATTTTTCTATAACTTATTTTGTTATATTCAGTTATTAAAACTATGTCATCAATAAGCTATGGCAAAAAATACAGACAAATATAAAAATCAATTAAAGTTGCAAAGCAGAAATAAAAACAATTTAGAACTTTATTTTTTTGAGCTATATTGCTATGTTATATGTTACATGTATATTAATTTGAATATGATTTCTTAATTTCAAATTGCAGAAATTTCAAATTTAGATTAAATTTGATGAATTAGGCTAAATAATGAACAATATTAACTGCTGTTTATTTTAGAATAAATAATTGTTATGAATAAATATTGATAAATCAAGCATTGAATTGTCAGTATTTGTTTATTACCTTGTTCAAATCAAATTAAATATACTCGGAAATTAGTTGTTAACATTTCAAGGATATTTAAAATAATATATATACTAGTATAAAATAAATTCCTAACAAATACAATAAACATAGTTAAAGATATAAACATAGTTAAGCTATCAAACAGTTATACAAATAAAGTAAAAAATAGTTTGAAAATATAACACATCTATATTATTGATATTATTAACAACAATGAAAATAATAACAGTAACAATAATATGATATTAATACTCATTATCAAAATAAAAATAAACATTAAACCAAAATTAAAGCTAAAATATATCAATAATCAATAATAAGTAATAATGATAGTAAAGTAGTTAAACATGTATTTACATAATATTACTATCACTTAAAAACATAATAATAACAAAATAATAATAATAATAACAATAATAGCAATAATAATAATAATAATAATAATAGCAATAATAATAATAATAATAATAATAACAATAATAATAATAATAATAATAATAATAGCAATAATAATAATAATAATAGTGAGTGTGCATTTATATAAATATTGTTGCCAATATTTATATATAAACGAGTTACCTTGTCTTTCTTTTTATACTTATATAGTAATTCCCTACCTTCCGAAATCATAAACTTTAAGGCTTTTTTTCTAATGACTCTTTTTTCGCCTTCTAGACTTCCATCAGGGTATTGCTTTTTACTTAAATAAGTAAAAACTTTTTGAACAAGGTCGTCTTCCATGATAATTTAAAAGATATATGCGCACATGCATAACACGGACCAATTTTTTCTAGCTCAGACCAATTTTTTCAGAAAAAAATTATCCGGCCGGATATATATTTTCTGAGAAATTTAGTCCGGGGTCATTTTTATCGGCGGACCAAAATTATCGTGACAGCACTCTATCCACGGCCTAAAATGTTTTAAGGTGAGCGAAAGATACTATGACTCAAAATGAGGTTTTGACTTTTTAAAAAAAGAAGACCAGATATATTACTGAATTGGGGAGAAATGTAGGAGAGTGCTTCTACATTGACTTATTTAGAGATAACATGCAAGGGAATGCTGCTACATCGACAGAGGGTTTGGGTTAAGACAGGTATAGATCAATCGATGTAGCAGCACTCTCCTACATTTCTCCTAAAATCAGTAATATATCTGGTCTTCGTTTTTTAAAAAAATCAAGACCTCATTTTGAGTCATAGTATCTTTCGCTTACCATGTTTTAATTAGATAAAAAAAATTAGAGTTTCATTTTTTTGACATTTAAAATTTTTATAAAAGATTTTATAGTTGATTAATTATACTTTATAAAAATAATATTTATTAGTATATGTATAGTATATAAAATAAAATAGTATGAAAATATCTTAATTTGCAACGTGTAACTGGCTGCACATGAGTGCTGTTCATGTTTAACAGAGAAATGCAATTAGATCAGATTCTATAAAGTAAGTTTTACCTATATTACTTTTCATTTTATTTGGTTAAGATGAGCAGGTTTTGTGGGGAAAAGTACTGCTCAAAATTTTTGAAGTTCGAAGTTTTATTTTTTTATTATTAGATCTTCATATTTGTTTATATTAGTTAATAATTTTACTTTTATATTTTTGTTTTGTGTTTTTATTCTGTTTTATTTTGTATTTATGCAGTTCAAAGTTATTTTTACATTAAATTTTAAAATCTTATGCAAAAGATCTGGATTTTAATCTGCAATTTTATTTTTATATACTTGTATTGTAACTTCATTAAATACTTTTATGATAGATAAACTTTTTACTTGGTTACATATTAACTTATTATTAAATTAATATTAAATTGATAAATATTTTGTTAAACTTTTTTATTATTGAGTTTTATTATTGATTACAATAGTTTTATCATTAAGAGGCTTCCAGAAATGTATAGACTATCACTACTGTGAATAAATGGTATAAACAGCTACAAAAAAATATTTTACAAATTATAATTAGTATTTTTACACTATATTAGTAATGTTAGTAATGAACTGAAGAGTAAATAAAATTTTCTATTTTTACAGATTTAAATGTTTTCTATTGATAATTTTTCATACATATGTTGGTGTATATCTTTTATACATATGTTGGTGTATATCTTAAAAAACTGTGTTTCTCTAATTTATATTCATTGTATTTTCAAAAACTAAAGCATTTTCTAGTTTGTTTTTCATAGTTGATAAACATCTGGCATAAGGTGTCAGATATACTTTGTATCAGGTTATAATGATCTGATATAAAAAATCAGATTATTATACGTCTTGATGTTTGGAGTTATTATCTAAGTAAAGCCATGATATATAAAATACCCAAGCAAGTATTGTAAATTTCAAAATAGGTACCACAGATGTAATGACTTGCAAAATTGATACTGCAAGCATTGTGACTTGCAAAGCTGCTTAGTTGCATATGTTTTTATTAAAAGATTTGTGCTGGCAAATATAAAAAAAATGTACAAGCATTTTTTGGTGATGATTATGATAGTTTCAAATCTTTTTGATTATATTTCGATTTCAGAAATTATTTTTATTCATAATAGTTAGTATATTTTTTTTAGACATGGGCTTTCAAGATATTTTCATGTAACCTTCATGAAAAAGATATAAAAATTATATAAATAAATATAAATTGTATTTCTATCAGTTTTGATAAATATCACCTGTTATAAAAATACCACTAAGATGACACCTTTCTTAATGTTATGCTTTTTTATTTATTATGAGAAAATGTTTAGATTTATATAGTAGTTCTATTGGTTTAAGGTTAAGTTATTATATTGGTTTAAGATTAAGTTAAGCTTAAGGTTAGCTATTTAATTAACTACTAAATGAAATATTTTGTTGTGGATTAAATGCTAGGCTGTTCAACAAGCTATGCAAAAACAGTGTTTATAGGTTTTTGAATTAGAATCTACAAATAGAATGAAAATAGAACATGCATGACAAATTGATGAGACAGTAGTTTTTTTTTGTTTTTTTTTTCCAGGTATTGGCAGGCTATACTTTCTGCAGACTTGTCTTCCTGCGACAAGGTTAAAACAAACTCAAACTACAAGCCAAGTATTTTTCATAGCAGCACATTCTAAGAAGAATTTTTTTTTAATATTTACTAATTAGATTACTTATATTTCGCAATTTCTTTAAATTATTTTTGGATATTGTTTAACGGTATTTTTTACCAAATTTTGTTTACCAAAGTTTAAAAAATTATTTTATTTATAGATTTTTAGTTTTTAATAATTAGTTTTTATTCATTTTATTTATAGTTATAATAGGACTTTCCATTTTTTGTAATAATTTTTTTGCAAATATGAATTTGATATTATGTTATTGTGAGAGTCTCAAGATATAAATAAAAAATGGTAGGATGAGCCAAACCTACTATGATCCATACGCTTGTTTTCTTATAAATCGATACAAGTTTAGCGTAAAAAAGTCTGTTCCAAAAGAAACCACTCGCAGAAAACTTGTGATATTGATTGGCCTATTAAAAGTTTATAGTTATTCTTACACGGTTTTCTCTTCTTTTTACACGCCCAAACCGGCAATTGGAAAATTTTTGTACAAAAATCTTTCGATTGTTAATTTATGTTATGGCGTTAATTTATGTACAATTGTACATAAATTACAAAGTACAAATTGTACTTAAATTAACGCCGTGAAAATAAAAAATAAAATGATCATTACAGTGCGATTTCCCTGGCTTTTTTCTATCCTAGAATAGTATTATTGCATTGCTGGAAAAATAAAATACAAATAAAGTACTAAACTTGGAATATTTAAAATTAGGGATATACCGAAGCTTCGGCTTTGGCTTTGGCACTTTTGCCGAAGCTTCGGCCGAAGCCAGGGCCAGTTTTTATCGAAGAATTGGCTTCGGTGAGTTTTTTTAGGTCATCACTAAGCAGCTCATTTAATTATGTTTACCAATAAATTCCTCTTTTTTTAAACTAAATTGTAAAGAATTGAAAGAAACTAAGTTTGCAAACAATAGAACAAGAAACAATCATTAGATTTAAAAACAAGTCAGTCATTATATTAAACATAAAATAATTTTATTGCTTACGATATAATTACTATAATTCTATTACTTGTAATTTGTTCATTTACTTTGATTCCTTGACGTATGCCGCGGTATATAGAGTATACATTGCAACGTGCCGCAAACTAATTGTTATTTTTTTTTTTTTTTTTGCATGCTTATAAAAATTAATGGGTACTTTTTTATATTTTATTTAAGTTTTATGTTTAATTTTACTTCGTTGTTATATTTACTAAAACCTATTTTAATGCAACTTGTATTTAGTTTTTTTGCGCTTGAAACGTATGCTAGAAAAATTATTTCTAATCACCACTCAAAAACATGAATAATTAATGATTTTATAATTACAGAAGCAGATAACATGCAGAAAATTAATGCCAGCATGCTGCAATAATTGTATGCATACACTAATTGTATACAAAACACTTTGAAAGCGTTATAAAAGGTAAGAGCAGATACATCAGAGATCATACTGTTTCTTAATTATGCTAGGGACAAATCAACTAGAATCAAAACTGTTGTTGATGAACTTAAAAATGATTTTAAAAGTCATTTTCATAAATACACAGATAATGTTCGTCTGAAAATTGCAATGATTCTCAAACCCCGTTTCAAATAATTTTTTTTAAAGAAACAGATCATAGCATATTTAAGGAAATTTTATATCAAGGGTACTACCGCTTTCATTTGGAGTATCGATCCTCTAAATGAAAGTGGTAGTACCCTTGATAAAAAATTTGCTTGCTTGTTATATATAATCATTTACAACAAGCAAAAGAAGTTAATTTCGTCAAAAGTTCTAATCGTGATGGTCCAATCATAAAAGAAAGCATGGGCATGTACAGCTTCTTAGACCAAATAGGTATATATGAAAATGCTTCACAGAAATATGAAAACACTGATGGAGGGGGAAAAAAGTAGGGTAGAGCGAGGCATATCAGGATAGCGGGGCATAACGGGACAGTGATGCCTGAGGTCTTATATCTCAGCTAAAAATAATTTTTTTTCAAAATTTTATTTTAATAAAACATTTTAAATTATTGTGCTTCATTATCGTAAAAAAAAAATTAATTTTAGAAATACCAAAATGCATTTAAAGTACCAAAATGCATCAGTAAGTTTGCGAAAAACATAATTTGCGTATTTTCTTAAGCAATACAGCAACAAAAGATTTATCTTGAACTCTTACGAATTTTCTTTATTTATAAAAAGTTTATATTTTTCAGACAGTATTTTTTATCCTCTTTAAAAAGTTATTAAAAAATTATTTGAAATTGAACTTTTTTAATAGTATCAATTTCAGTAAAATATTTGTGGGGCAAATCGAGACAACAAAAGTATTTATATAATTCGCAACTGAAGTAGTATATTACTACCATTTCGCGATGCTGTTTACAGTTTGATGATTTTATTTTTAATCTAAACTATTTTTTTTTTAATTTAGAAAATCAGATTTAGCAATAAATTCAAAGAAATTATTTTTATATTTATTTTTATAATTTAACTTCGATGATTAATAGTGTTTAATGTAAACAAATAAGGTTGGAAATTATATAGGAGCGATCAATCATCCAAAACGAGATGAAATTTAGTTTTAATTGTGAATAAACAAAAACTTAGAATTATAATTCTAAGTTTAAGTTTTGGGGAGAGAAGGGGGGGGGGGGGGGGGGGGGAAGAAAAATTCGCAACTGAAGTAGCTTTTCTATAGAAAAGCTACTTCAGTTGCGAATTTTTCTTCCCCCCCCCCCCTTCTCTCCCCAATAATACACTAACTCTTATTGAGCAATAAAACCCGGGCGTCCGGGTAATCACAAAGGTGGCTGCACTTAGACCAGGTTACCTTAAAATTTCCTTAAATTAATAATTGTTTAAAAAGTTTTAACAAAAAAAAAAAAAAAGAATTTTTTATATATGTCACATTTATGCGTAACGCGAATATGGGTCTAATTTAATTAAAATAATTCTCCCTTACACTAAATTCCATAGTTATTTCTTAGTAGATATTAGCTTTTATTTACTAAGCTTATGATTAACTTAGTTTAAATTCTTAAAACTAAAACTTTAAAACTTTAAGTTAGCTTAAGTATAATCAAAGCATCGACACCAGTCATACTCTAAGGTAGGCTAGGATTACCTCAGGGACATCAGCAATTGAAAACCCTTTAAAAAGTTGACTCTATAAAAGTTTTTCTCACGATATATATATATATATATATATATATATATATATATACGCCGTGGATAGCCTACCGAAAGTCGGTAGCCAAAAAAATAAAAATTTGCCTACCGAAAGTCCGTTTTATTGGCTTAAAATGTCACGTGTCAAAATAGAATTTATCAACCAATAAAAGCGCTTTCGGTAAAATAAAAAAATAAAAACAACTCACCTCGACTGTCGGTAGCCAAAAAAAAAAAACTTCGCCTACCGAAAGTCCTTTTTTAGCTAAGAATGTCACGTGTCAAATTGAATTTATGTACTAATAAAAAGCGCTTTTGTTAGAATAAAAATATTATGTTAGGCCGCCGACTATAGTCGGTTTTACTAAGATATTAATTATTAATTTAATAGTTAGTAAATTATTTTATTAAGTTATATCTTATAAAATAACTTACACATACGTTTTAAGAAATTAGTATAGGGGAAAGCGGGGCAACAAGGCGAATGGGGCAAGATGGGTTTTCATATAACAACTCAACAAAAAATCTTAAAATTGTGTGAGAACGAAACTGTATTTGCATCATGAATTTTAGAACACCAATTGGTTTTTTGAAATTAACGCAATTTTAAACGCAAAAGTTTACTTTTTGCGCTAAAAAAAAAAATGCCTCAGTTTCGGTTTCTTATAATGGATGGTGTCCTTTAAGTTTAACTTCTTTAGAACTAGTTTTTTGCGACTTGTGTTTATTTTGTGTTACTTTAGTTATAGTTATTGGTAGTTTTTAAAATTTTATAAAATTGGAGGCAAAAATTGCATAATAAGTCATTTTGCCCCGGTCACGTGACCAGATGACAAATTTATGAACATTTTATTTTAACATTTATTTCAAATTGTTATATTTCCAATCTGAAAATTCATGCAGGCAATGAATCATTTTAATAACATAAACATACTGAGAAAGTATTATTGCTTCACGACTGATAGTTTTGCAGTAAATCAGGGCTTTCAAAACGTTCGCTATGTTGCTCCGCTTTCACCTATCTAAAATATAATAACAAATAAAAGTACTTTTGGTAGCAAATTTAGTGTCTGTAAATACATAAATAATATTCATAAAAGATATCTTTATTAAAATTAGTTAAGGTAATTTCGTTTACCAAATAATGATAAAATAAATAAGATCTATTTCTGCTTCGGAGCGTTCTCCTTCATTAATTTCCTTAAATCACTCGCTGTTCTTCTAAACTCTAGTTAAATTGGTTGTTTTAAAATTGCTTTGCTAAACGATGGTCTGTAATACTTGCTTAGAGCGTGTAACATTAATTTACCATCTACTATCGATCACAAATTATAGATTGTATACTTCCATTAGGTTGCGTTTAGTAAATACTTCGTTTATAAATTAATTCAGATATTTTTGCACATTAAGTAAAAACGCATGGGGTTATATATTTCCCTAATAAAAGAGTTTAATTTATTAAAAAACATAACTGTAAACATATTTGTAATACCATATGTATATATTACATTGCATGTAACATGGTATGTAATATGTATATTTACTCAATTTTTATTTAATAAATTTATTAATTGACAAATATTATAAAATTTCTACAAACCTTATATAACTTCTAAAAATATTGCCTTGGTTTTTAGTTTATAAATTACAAAGTGTAAAACTTTTGTAACTTATTTAACGAAATGCACCACGAGAAGGTAAACCATAGGACTTGGCATTTCATATTTCTAGATTAAATACAAAACAAAAAACAAACAAAAACAAAAAAGGAAAAAATATTGTCACAAAAAAAATTTTTTTTTTTCTTTCGTTTTTTCTTAAAAACAGTTTCTTTTTATTTTATAATACTAGATTTTTGAAAAAAAAAACAAAAAAAACAAACAAGATTTACAGAGCTTTTATAAATATTTTCACAATCTGTATCTAATCTATACAATATATGTAATACTATATAATCTTACAGAGCTTTTAAAAACATTTTCACAATCTGTATCTAATCTATACAATCTATATAATACTATTTAAATATAACTATATAATCTGTAACAATACATATATATATATATATATATATATATATATATATATATATATATATATATATATATATATATATATATATACATATATATATATACATATATATATATATATATATATATATATATATATATATATATATATATATATATATATATATATATATATATATATACAAAAATTATAAAGGTAATACTTAAATCATTACCTTCCATAACAAGTGCGACAAAACCAATACCTTGCTTTTAAAAAGGAATTCTCTTTTTGTCCTACACATTTTTTATGTGACCACAATAAGCATGAATCACATGCTATTGCATTACCAGTTTTATTTCCTTCGCTTGTGCTCTTCAGACATACAGCACATGGCCAGATATGCTGATTTTTTTTAGCCTTGATTACTTTATCAAGTGCTTTCCATGCATCCGAGCTAAAGTATATTTGCAATGAAGAAAGTAACTCTAATGCACTTTCATCAAGTATAGATGAGGGAATACAATTCGGTCTTTTTTCTACAGCACTCTTATTGATAAGGGTACCAGAAAGAGCTTTCTGTACGTCATCAGCTTTTAAAAACCAACCAAGCATCACTATAACAAAACCATTTGAGCTTAATAACTTATGCTGCAAAACCATTAATTTTAATTAAGTAGTCACCCATAAAGTGTGTCATGCTGAATTTGACTTTTTAATATAGATAGGAGATCATTTCCGTTTCTGCACAATGATCATAATTAAACATATAAATTTAAAATTGTGCAAGAAAAGAAATCTTCTTAGTACTAGAAAAAATCTTATACTACTATTTATTAGTTAGACTCTTTATGGATGACCCCTAATATTATTTATTAGCTTAAACTTTAAAATAATATTTTTAACATACAAGCATGTCTTTTAGCTGGTTCAAGTTTTATAAAAGGAACTGGCACATCAGAAGACCGACAAAGACGTTTTTTAGGAAGACCTATTGTTGTATGAGTAGCACCTTTAGGTCGTCCACAATGGACAACATTTTGAGGCAAGCAAATCTTTTTTAACTGAGTATCTAAAATGAATGTACAAAATGCTACAACTCCATCTTATTCTTACATAATTAATAAATTCTATTTAATATAATTATCACTCTCAATTGCATTTAATTATTTTGAATTTTATATATACCTACTAAACCTGCTTTGTCCTGCACAACAAAACATTTTTCTTGGTTTTGTTGTAAATTATTGATAGTAACATATTCCTCTGAAGACACATTTCTAAAATCAATCTCATTTCCCTCCTCTTTGTTCAAAATTTCAATTAAATCTACATCATTTGGTGCTCCTGCATCTGAAAAAGTTTGATTTGAGACTATATCAGATACCCCTAAGTCTGTCTCAATAAGTTCATTTAACACCATGACTTTGCCATGCTCCCAACCCTTCTGCAGTTCTTGTAGAAGACCCATTCTCTGTTCAAAAGAAGGTCCAGTTGACTCTGAAACCAATGTAGCTAACAGTGAAGTTGTACGAAGTGCAAGTTTAAACTTTTCATGCTGAGAAAGGATTGTTTTTTTTCTTGGAGCAACACTAATCTGCACACAAGACTCCTTAGTTTCGGAAGAAGTATTAAAAACTCTTTGATGCTGACGATAATACTTTATTGTCCACCTTTCTAGACATAGCTTGGCATCAAATAGATTCAAACCTAGCAACTGGCGAACTGCGAAGATATGGCGACACGGCAGACCCATTGATTTTCTAAACATACAACCACACGAATCAGAAGTAACTATAAGCATACCTTCACTGCTTTTAACTATATAGTTTTCATTGTCACAAAAAAGATTTACTTCTGAATGCAAGGAAAATTGTTTCAATACTTGCTCAAATGCATATGTTGTCAAAATATTTTTATATTCTGATTCAACTGAATTAGGTTCAAAAAAGTCTATACAAATTTTCTGCATTTTGAAAATAGTTTTGTGGTCTCGCTCATTTCGCATTGAGGCTAACAAAACATATAAATTTTCAAGAAAATTTTCTAAAGTACTATTACAATCAATCACTTCTTTCAGTTTTCCATTAAAATTTTCAAGACGATTGTTAGTGGTGTTCATAAAATTAGCACAAGCATAATTTAAGCCAAAGACCCATTCATTACGAATGTTGTGCCAATTATTATTAAAATATTCGAGAACTGTAGTTGGCGATAAAGAAACAAATATGTCATAAAATTCATTATACTGTGTCTCTGATCTTGCATATGCTAATTTTTGAATGAGTTCTAGACAAGACGTTCGTTGACCACTTGTGATGCCAAGTTTTACAGTGGAAATTTCACGATTAAATGTTCTGAAAATAAAAATCCTTGAACTAATTATTTTAACAATTAACATTTAACTTACTAGCTGTTACTAGATTATTTTACCTAAGAGTGTGAAATAGGCAAAGTAAAAGAGATGCATCAGGAAAAGAAGCACGTAAAACATCTCTCTCGTTTAAGTCTTTGTCCGTAATTATGGCATTAGTTTTAGACCAGGAACAGTTGTTTTTTTTAAATGTTTCTACAAACCAACTAAAAACATTATAAAAATAGTTATTTTGACAAAAAAAAACACTATCTTTATATACATCGCATAAACATCAAACCTCAATGATGCCGCATCTTCATTTGTAATTAAACCAACGGCAGCTACTTCACTTTCACCTATTTTAATAAAATTAAAATTAATTAAAAAACAAGTTAGCAACAATGCAACATTTTAACTCTTCCAATTATTGTCCGATTAGTCTTCTCTGTGTGAACATAAATTTAAATGATTCTGGGAAACATATTTGGAAACCTTATACAGGCTTAGAATAAGCAGAAATATGAAAAAAGAACACAGTCAGTTGTCATGCTATGTGTTTTTGTTATTTTAAA